ACAACCCCGGGTATATCGCGCTAGCATGCATGCTATAAATCTCGCAAGTGCGATTAACTGTCTCTCTAAGACTCCTGGGAGTTAGCGCGGTTGAGAGGATCGACTAATGAACGAGATTTGGAAGGTGAGTAGAGAGTTGGCGATCCGACGAGCTGGTGCTAGGTATGCGGGGTTGGCATGGGGTCACGACGGACTGTGGCGCACGGGCGAACCTGTCGTGCATGCTCAGACTAAGCGGGGTGACAACTCTGTGTGGGTGCGAGGCGACGAACTGCCTGCATCGAGATATTCTGAAGAGAGAGAGAGAGAGAGAAAAAAAAAAAAAAAAAAAAAAAAAAGGTGTATTGTAGCGTTGTCTTCTTCTATTCTTCTGAGTAATTTTGCTATTTGGCGCAAGACGTCTTTGCATCCCTCGATCGACATCTGGGATCTTTTTTTCGTTTGTCTCTAATGATTGATGTATGATTGCTTCTCTCACCTTGCTCCTCCCTCTATATGGATTGGGCTCCATGGCTTGGTTAATCGCCTACGATCGAATTTTGTACAATTTGGATGCATGAACGATTGTCACCTTCTTTTTGTTTATGTATGCATGAAAATGGACGCATGGATGATGGGTATTTTTCTGTCTGAATTAAATAGGCATGGTAGATGATCAGATGTCTGTGTCACGCTAGGACTATCCACCTTCGATTAACGGGTCAGCGTGTACGAGACGCGGGTCATTGGTCTTTGTCCATCGGACCGAAGGGCAGGCCTTGTGCGCGCACGTGTAAGCCTGACTGGAAGAATGTGGCCTACACGCGTGTCTGCAGAGCCAGTACTCCGTCCAACTTTTCGAATGACTGAGTTTCCGCCTCACCCCACAACATGAATATCGAACTCCCTTTTCGTATTACTGATCTCCAGTGTCTGAGAGATCAGGAATTTCGAGAGTATTGGGAGAACGTGTGTTTGTCTGCACGACCAAGGGGAAAACTTCCTGACTTTCCATACCCGGTGGGTAACAAACGTATCTGCAAGTGGGATATCGACCGAGCTCGAGAGCGCATTCCCCAACACCCTGAATTCCCCAGCTCGTACACGTGCCACCTTGTCGCGGAACTGGGAATAATTATTCTGGAAACCGACTTCCCTCCCTACCACCACATACTGCCCTTCCATTCCTGACCATCATCCCCTGGCGCACAATCGCTCCGTATTGGCCCCAACCCTCGTGCTCGGAGTGCTTGCAAGACCGCGAGTACCGAGCCTCCGGCTTCATCTGGCGAACCCGCTCGGAGGAAGAACGATGGGCGCACAACCTTTGGCTAAGGCCGGCCGCGTTGGATTCTGAGACCAGTAACGTACGACGCCAACAAATAATTGGATATCGCAATAGCCATAGCGTTCCGACGGCGCACCAAATACCAGTCCGACCCAAACGAGGGAATCACCAGAGGCGGTAGTGTGACGCCCAACCTCACCCCTAGCGCGACTTCCTGATTGGAGTGGGGTATGGGCCTGGAAGTGCGAAAAGGGGTGTGCCAAGGATTTTTGGGAAAAGTGGGGGAGTCTTAAGGGTATGAATGCAATCAGGCAAGCGTGCGCAAGAGACTCATGGTCCGATGGGGCTGGGACACTGTGGGCGACGGGTTATGGGAAAATTCCTCCGTGGTGGAGGTGGTCCTGAAAAGTTAGGCCGTCGGGGGCCGCCACGCGGCGCAGGCCGCCTCGTACCTGGGTTGGGCCTCCGAAATTCCAGAGTGTTCTGCGCGCCGTTGCGTCAGCAGTTCACGCAAAACGTATTGGGCCAATAGGGGGCTATGGCCGGCCTCGGAACGACACTGAGTTGATGATACGGGAGAAGGAGGCGGAAAGGAGGGAAACTGGTGGTGATCTCAACGAATCCTGGGTGGGTGAAGTAGTATGTGTGGTCAGGGGAAGGGAAATCGGAGCACCGAGGGTCGCTAGTGGTAGCACAGTGGAATTCCCGCGGACATAGCCGATTCTCCGTGTGACAGGGGTATCGTGTCCTTATGAGCTCGTTTATTATAGGGGTGAAATAGTCCAGGTCGTAGGACGAGTTTGAGTTCCAAGATCACGTCATGGTATCATCGTCGGTGGGATAGCGCGGGTCGGGTTTTCGTCACCTCGTACAAGCACGTGCAGGACAGGCTGATTCAGTGGCGCCTCAGCGTGCTCGTACGGGATGATGGTTTCCCCGTGACTCCTTTCTGGGGGAGCGAGTCGTCGCACGGGAATACGTGTAAGGGCGCGACTCAGATCGCGTTTACACGTATTCTCGCGCGGCGTCTCGCCGAGCCAGACCTCGGTTCGTTTAATTGCTTCGGATTATGTCAGATGCAACCATATCACAACCCTCATCGTGAGATAAGCAAAAACGAGGACAAAATCGCTATCGGGGCCATATTCCTATCCCATCTACAGCTGCATCAGGTGTGGGCAAAGATTTGACACAAACAAAAGGCAAGGACAGGGATTCTCAACAAAAAGATATATAGAGAGGCATAACGTCCACACATCCACACATTCCTACATCCATACATTCGATAATCATACGCATAATGCCATAGCAAAAACAAGTGTGAGCAAAAACCGAAGCCCAAATCTCAAAAAGCCGAAACGAAAATAAGAACAGGCAAACCGCACGGAGCCGTAATCAAAATGTATGTACATAGATGAAGAGGGGGAAGAGACAAAGAAACAGCAAATCCACGTCCATCGATCTCAACTCTCTCCTCCTCTCTCTCTCTCTCTTCGATGCGGACAGTCCGTCGTCACGCACCCACCCACGAAGTTGTCACCCTGCTTAGTCCTCCCGCACCCGTCGGATTCGCCCGTGCCCACAGTTCGTCGTGGCCCACGTCAATCCCGCGCGTTCGGCACCAGCCCGTCGGGTCGCCCAACTCCTACTCTACTCACCTCTTACTTCGCTCGTGTGCGGACCCTTCCTGATCGCGCAACCCCGAGCTTCCAACAACTGGTTAAGAGAGCTGACTAATCGCGCAACCGAAATTTATAGCGTGAATGCATGCGTGAAGAACACGGAATTACCATGACTTAGAGTGAGGATTAGAGAGGGAACGCCAACGTTCTGCATGATCGGCCGCGGCGTGGGGGACGTAACCCTTCTCCACGCATCGATCCGAGCATGCAAGCCACGATTTACAAAATTTCAGTAAAAGGAAAGAGAGGAAGGGCGGGAGAGATGAAGTGCAAGAAGAGAGATACAGTTACAATGGCGCCCGCCCAAAATTACAGTTACACATACAATTAAGGGCGCCCACTAATCAGAGTACCGTTGCAGCCGCATGAAGAAGCGCGTGAACAAAAAGCGCCGCGCGGCTGAAAAAATCCTAATTACGAAATTCCTGAATTCCTATCTAATGCGAAAAAGCAAAAGGCACAAATTCCAGAAGGAAAGTTTGAAATTCCGAGAGCCATCGGGGCTCGCCAAAAATTCAAAAAGGTTTCAAAAGAAAATTAAAAAAAAGAACGAAGCAATTTCCCGCGCGATGTCCGTGCTCAAAAGATTGAAAACCGAACCAAAAGAAACGACGTCGATACTAATCGCGCGCGCTCGCGTGGCATCGCGTCGAACAACCATCCGACCAATCAATCCACCGGCCGTCCCAGGACACACCCAGCCCCGAAGAAGCGATGAAAAAGACGAAGAAGCAAGGGTACTGATGCAATTTTCCACCGATCCCGATTTCCCGTAATTGGCCCAATCTTCTCAGCTTAGGACCCCTCGTTGCAACCACGCAGAAACTCGCGCGTTATAGAAAGTGGTTCGTCACAGTAGCCCCATGCTCAAAAGCATAGAAGCGGACTTCGACCCACGCCTATCCTCTTGCATTCCTATCCCTGAAACTTGCCACAAGAGATATCAGTTCCGACCTGAGACTCCACCCCCACTTTCCTAAAATCCTTGGCACACCCCCTTTTCGCACTTCCAGGCCCACTCACACTCCGATCAGGAAGTCGCGCCGTGCGTGAGGTTGGGCATCACAACCGGTCCTTGTCACTTGTCATGACACCGACCCCACCCTTCCCATGGACGTATCTATACCCCTCAAAAGGGGGCTGACATACCCGAAATGGCAAACAAAACGCAACCAGGTAAATGGCAGCCTCCTGGCTGCGGACAATGTATGGGGTGAGTGTCCTCACCCTTGGGGTAAGTCAAGTACCAGCAGGGGCCAGAGCCACCTGGAGGTCAGACCGCTTGACCCCTTCCGGCTGATGCTTGCCTCCACGCACCTGAACTCCGCCCCTGGGGCTAGGTCCCAGATCCATGGCCAGAAATGAAAAACACCATGTAGTGGGACTCGGACCCCCGGGGCAAGGTCCCACTTGCACGGATTAAGAGATTGTGGCCGTTGATCTTCGCTATCTACGGTCAATATATCGCTTAATTCGTGTAAGTGGGACCTAGCCCCCGGGCGGGAACAAACTCAGCCTGCAGCGGCGCGACACTGTGGCGCGTCGGCCTTTACCGTCGGATTTTGTCAGGAGGTCCCGCCTCGTCTCGGCCCAGCATGATGTGGCTTTCCCCCCCCCCCCCCCCCGAGCTGATGATGCATTTGATTGTGATTGATCGGTGTGCTCGGACGCACCAACTCGCCTAAATGTGCCTCGCACGTGTGTTTGCGTTGACATGTTGGCTGCGGGTTTGCGCAGTTGAATACACTCGGCCATTTGTGCGACTTGAGTCCACTGCCCATGGCCTTGCCTCGTCGGATTTTGTTTACGGCTCCAACGTGGGCCTCGCTCCACTACTCTCATCTTCTCTGTATCGTTCCACTTTTAACGGATGTCCCGAAGGCCCTCGCTCCAGGACTCTCGAAATGTGCAAAACGAGAGCGAATCTTCCGTCTATGGAAAAGATACACGGCCATGATTTTTGTCTTTTGTGCATGTCGCCCTCGTGTGACTTCTTCCCGCGTTCGCGGCGTAGCTTCGGTCGCTAGATCTGATCGCCCGAGCGGACGCGGGACCGAATTTAGCACGGCCGCCTGAATGGAATAAACAAAATCGCACTGACGAGCAGAGCGACACTGGAGAGAACACGACCAGGCAGAACACTCACAAATGGACACTTTTTGACCGAATCTGGTCGATTTTGCGTTCCTACACTTCCAATGCACTCGTGCGAGGATGCCCTCTCGGCCGAGCGCCGGAGGACTCGGGCAAGACGGAGCGGGGCTGTTCGCGGCGATCCAGTTCGCCGGAAGGAGCCCGGCGGAGCCCCAGGCGCTGCACGGGAAAAAAGAGCGCCAGGTGCTGCGCGGGCAGTTGTACGGGCGCCAGCGCGGGTAGCCAGGACACCTCGCTGTCGGCAAACTACGGTCCGCGTTGGCGCGTACGGTCCGTCGGAGGTGGAAGCTGTGTCACTGCAGGAGGGAAAAGCGGAGGAGGCTGAGGAAGAAGGGCAGGAGCGCCAGGAAGGTCAGGACGAGGAGAGAGGAAGAAGACGACTAAAGGAGGGGGAGGAGGAGAGAAGAAGAAAACGGCGAAAGGAGGAGGAGGAGGAGGAGGAAGAGGAG